TGCTGCTACTGCTGCTGCTGCTGTCGCTGTTGTTGCTGCTGCTACCTTTTGCACTGCTGCTGCTGTTGTTGTTGTTGCTGCTGCTGGTGGTGGGGCTGCTGCTGCTGTTGTTGTTGTTGCTACTGCTGGTGGTGGTGATGTAACATGTCTTTTGCACGTGTTACATGAAGTAGTCAGCGAGGCTATAGACTAGGGTTGTTTGGTGACCAGTTAGTCTGCGTAGACGCAGCGTCGCGCAACAAGATGCGCGGCTACATTGATGTTATTAGGGAGAATGGTAGACGTGGTTAGGTTAGACAGATTAGAGGGTCATTGTGAAATGGGGGGTAGGACGCGGTCTGTGAGAACGGTGGAACATGTGTGGAACGGTGGAACATGTGCGGGGAGTATGTTTGTAGGAGTTTTGGGGGGTAATAGATAGGACAGAGATGTAGGAAGGGGATTCTGGTTTTGGTCGCGAGAGTACGCGCACGCGCGACCGCGCGTGTGCGCGGGTCTTTGTCTGTGTGTAAGGAGATGTGATGTGTGTAAGATATTAAAGGTTATACAGGTTACTACACAAGTTATGGATTTGGATCTACTTCATCAGTTCTACATGAACGCTCATTCCAACGTTACATTTTGGTTGCCGTGAAAGTCCAAAACCTGGGTATCCCTTTGCGGACACAAGGAAAGTATACTTTATTAATTCCCCTTCTCTCTATCTCTCTGCCTCTCACCCTGTCTCCTCCCCCTCTCTCTCTATCTCTCCATATCTCTCTCATTCTCTACCTCTTTCTCTTGTAAGGTTTAATGACTTAACTCCTTGTTGTTCCATACTACACACTATAAACGCAAGGTGTGAGTGTATTAAAAGAACACAATTACTAAACCGCACCGGCGTGCATTCTAGTCTTTTCAAAAAGCTCGTATATATACGCATCATATAGAATTTACAGCTCACGAGCGAGTCCATCCTACGTTTGTTTTATAACAATCTTCCACGTGAAGTTTTGTAGATTTGCGCATGCGGGCAACATCTACACGCAATACGTGTTTCACCACCAATCAGACTTGCGCCACGAGAGTAATACAACATATATATATATATGGGCATGTGATATAGCGTGAAAACTAACAGGGCAATATACGCGTGGTCATTTTAGCGAGAGCCATAAGTGCGTATACGTAATTACAACATACAAAACTCGCAGCAAATAATCTACTATACAGCTCTGCTATATTATATGTATAGGGGCCCCAAGCGCACAGTTCACTCGCCCGGTTCAAATCAATTCGCACACTACAGGAGCGTAGAAAACCGTGCTTTTTACGCTTTTCAAGCGTGCGAAAATAGACAATTTCTCATGTGTTTACATCGCGTGATTTTTTGCTACTACAGCCACCAGCAGCAGCAAGGGCAAGAATCGACCCACCTAACTAATTAGACGTAATATTAGATTCCACACAACAGATTCACACTGAGCACACGCTTTAACCGCGTGAAATGCGTGCAATGCAATTTCGGCGCTTCAAGCCTGTAAAAAATAGAGACGTGAGATAAACCGATAGAAGGTGAACCGATTTGAGCCGGCTTCGTGGTGATTCATCAACACTAGGTGAGTATTACGTACTTTTGCTACTTATACACCGCGCAGCGGGAACAACCCCTGGACACCGGAATTTCCCAAATTCGATCGAAATTCAAACTCAATCTGAATTCGATGGCGTTTCCCAACTCTCTGAACATATGGTCGCCAATACAAAACCTCAGACATTCTCTGCACCGCGGAAACCGACATTTTATATGTACGTACACGTGTCTCGCTGCAGTCACGTGGCCGCGTGACGTTCGACGACAGCCTCATGCGTGCAGCACGTGCAGTTCACGTGATTTGCCACGAAAACATTACCTTATTTACCTAGCATTAGCAATTACCTGCTAGCAGTAGGTTCGACGCGTTATCCACAGAGGGAAGAAAAGATCACGAGGTTTTGATCTCTTTTTTTTTAATTTATGGCCCTCGCACACAACGACAATTTTTATCATTGATTGACGATGCTAGTGATTGATAGGAGCATAGTAATTGCGTTCCCCAAGCCTTAGGTAAAAATGTAATGTTTATGTTAAAGGTAGCAGTATCACTAACAGTAGTAGTATATAACCGTATTATTAATAATAACAGTAGTAGCATTAGTAGTAATAGTAGTAATAGTAGTCGTAGTAGTAGTAGTAGTAGTCGTAGTAGTAGTAGTAGTAGTAGTAGTAGTAGTAGTAGTAGTAGTAGTTGTAGTAGTAGTAGTAGTAGTAGTAGTAGTAGTAGTAGTAATAGTAGTAGTAGTAGTAGTAGTTGTAGTAGTAGTAGTAGTAGTAGTAGTAGTAGTAGTAGTAATAGTAGT